CCTTCCTTCCTTCCTTCCTTCCTTCCTTCCTTCCTTCCTTCCTCTTTCCATCCTTTTGCTGTGGGGCTTCTCTTACATTATTGGACCTAGGCTATGTTATGTAAGCTCTTGTTGTATTTTTCTATCATTTCTAGGTGTCTCATGTTTTGAATATATGATTTAATTATTGCCAGTAAAAAAAGTCTAAGCTAGTTTTTAAAACAAGATGTCCTGAGGTCAGCAAGGTGATGAAATAGATGGTCACTGGCTTCAGTCTCTCTCACAGAAAAATTAGCTACAACTATCCACAGACAAGAGGCTGTAATAAAAATCCCAGGACCTGGGAGTGAGGCTGAAGCACCTCTTGAACCACACACACACACACACACACACACACACATAAAATCACATTAGAAGAATAACCATTAATTTATTAGCAAGGATTAACTTTGACTACATCTTCCCTTCCTCAGGCCAGTACAGTACTGCAATTAGAGGAACACCTCCCGCAAAACTACCGTTTCTCCTGTGGGAAAGGGGAACTCGAGGTGGACATCCAGCTTTCTCTGCATTCTGGAGGACCTCCAGGAAAGTCCACGGCCATGTAGCCTCACAGAGCTCACTGGGGTAGATCAGCCAGGAATGGAAAAGAAGGCAGATAGGAGCAATGAGTATGTAGGTGTTGGCAGACAATATTTCTGTTGGCAGTTTTCCTAGAAGAAAATTTAGGGGAAAAGCTCTTTGACATCGGTCTTGGCAATGATTTTTTAGATTTAACCCCAAAAGCACCAACAACAAAGCCCAAAATAAATAAGTATAATTACACCAAACTAGAAAATTTATGCAAAGCAAAAGAAACAACTAATGAAATTAAAAGGCAACTTATGGAACGGGAGAAACTACTTAAAAAAACAAGAATCCAATAAAGGATTAATATTTAAATTATAGAAGGAACTGATACAACCTAATGACAAAAAAAAATTTTAATTAAAAGTGGGCAAAGGGACCACGCTGGCCATTGTGACTCAGTTGGTTGGAGTGTGGTCTGGTGCACCAAAGGGTCGTGGGTATGATTCTGGGTCAAGGCACATACCCAGGTTGGGAGTTCGATCCTTGGTCAGAGCTTGTGCGGGAGGCAACCGATCAGTGTTTCACTCTCATGTCGATGTTTTTCTCTTTCCCTCCCTCTTCCTTCCTCCCCTCCTCTGTCTAAAACTGGTGAGAGCTTGTCCTTGGGTGAGAATAAAAAAAAAAAAGGCAAAAGAACTAAATAGATATTTTACCAAAGAAGACAAACAAATGACTGTGAGGTACGTAGAAAGGTACCCAACATCACTAATCACCAGGGAAATACAAGTCAAACCAGAAAGAGATATCACCTCACACCTGTTACTATGGCTGTCACAAAGACGACAAGAGATAACCGTGCTGGCGAGGAAAGGAAGCCCTTGTATGCTGTTGGTAGGACTGCAAGCTAGTACAGACACCATGGAAAGCACTACTGAGGTTTCTTAAGAAATTAAAAATACAACTACATTATCATCCAGCTGTCCCCTTCTAGGGTATATATCTGAAGAAAATAAGTCCACCATTTCAAAGAGATATGTTAACCCCCATGTGAATATATATATGTGTATATATAATATTTTATATATATTGGAACATTATTTCATCATAAAGAGGAAGAAAATCCTGTTATTTATGACAACATAGATGCAACTTTAGAGTATCATACTAAGTGAAATAAGTCAAAGAAAGACAAATATTGTATGATCTCACTTATATGTGGAATTTAAAACTCATAGAAAAAGTGTGTAAATTGGTGGTTATCAAAAGCTAGGTACTTGGGGAAATGGGAAGATTTTGGCCAAAGTGTAAAATCTCAGTTATGAGACAAAGAATTTCTGGGGATCCAATGTACAGCAAGGTGGCTGTAGTTAACAATACTATGTTGTAAAGTTTACTAAGAGGTTAGATGTTAAATATTTGCTTAGATCTTAAGTATTTTCACCACAATATATTAGATCTTAAATACTCGCATCACAAAAATGAGGTAACCATGAGGTGAAAAAGAAAACACAACACACCAAGATTTTCTGAATGCCCAGTGTTGTTCCTGTAGTACTAAAGATAACATCATTATAGATTTCTTGTGCAATTAATATATGGCTTTTAATCACCTGGCTCATTAATTTTATGGAGACATAATTTGATTACTTAGATACTTGCCTTTTATACAGAAATATGATTTTATTTGTATCAAAAACAGTATTTATGTGTCTACTTAATTTTAATTTTCAGTATGCATATTTTAGATATTTCTAAAAGGTATTATACCTTATTAAAATATTCCAACTAAGATAACATTATTAATCTACAGAAACTATATAAGTCATCTATGCTAAATGTATTAGCAACATCTATCATCACTTTATTTTCTTCAGGCTCCCCTCTCTGTGTGTAGCACAAGCTGTGGTCCAGGATTTAGGAAAACCCCACAGGAAGAAAAAGCTGTATGTTGTTTTAACTGTATCACGTGCCCAGGGGCTGAGATTTCCAATATGACAGGTAAGAGTCAACAACAGATTCCTCTCAATCTGCTCTTCATTTTCCTCACTAATGTAAAAGTTGGTTAGAGTTTGGGTTTGGCTCACAAAATGTCACTCCTTCCTTCACTTAATCATCCATTTGATCCCCTTTTTAATATTATAATTAGTATAACCCATTACCCTTGTATCCAGGGTGTGATGGGATTGTGTGACAAACAAAAAGCTGCTTGCATGGGGCACCTGGGCTGAAACCACAGAGGACGTGCCATTTTTGCTAACTCCTCACTAAAGCGAGCAAGCAGTCATGAGTCTTGCTGTATTCTGGAGGAAGAGACTCCAACATGGAAGCAGCAGAAGTACAAAGGGCCGGGGACAGGAGTTTGTGTAGTTGAAAGTAAAGCAAGCCGGTTGGTGTGGGTGGTTGGAAGATGCAGTTCAGAGCTATTGTGGTAGGAGGTGAAATCTGGGGTTTAGGAAGATATGTGGGTTTTGACTTTAAGTGTAATTAGAAGCGATTGGAAGGCTTGGAGTATGGCAGGTAAGTGATCTGACTTGATATTTAAAGAACGGCTGCCTGTTCCCTGCAAAGTAATTGAAGGGGAGGGGATTTGAAGGCAGGAAGTCAGTTCACAATATTACCATAATTCAGTTAAAGATACAAAGTATTTTGGATCAGATATGAAAAGTGGAAATGATAAGAAATGATTGATATCAGAAAATATTTTGATGGGAGAGGCAATAGAATTCACTAATAGATTTGTTTTTTGTGAGAAGTGAAAGATCGTGGTTTTTAGCAGTGCAACTTAATATCTCATGGGCAATCTAATGAGAGTTTGAGATGCTTATGTAAAAATGCATTTATGTCATGGTCATTACAACATTTATACCAGAAACAGTTAAAGCTCCTGTGTAAAATTAATGCTTTTAGGGTATAGCCTGGAAAATAGATATTTGAAATTTCTTAAAGAGTATAATAGTTTCACTGCCAAAAAATAATTATAGTACAAACTTCTATGCCAAAGATGAGAAGAAATCATATTTCCATACAAAAAATAAGAAAGGTATGGACATGGCTAAACTGGAATTAGTGCATTCACAGCATCCTGAAAGTTTTTTGAGTATGGAGCAAAAGTGTGACCTAAATTGGCAAAAATGATCATTTTTCAGTTCTGTGCAAAAAGGAAGCACTGCAGATCCTTAGGCAATGAGTCTCTGCTCTTTTTCCCCCCAGATTCTGATGATTGTACAAAATGCCCAGATGACCAGTATCCAAACAGTGGGAGGAATCGCTGCCTCCCAAAGGCTGTAACCTTCCTGGCTTATGAAGATCCACTGGGGACAGCACTGGCCAGCGTAGCTCTTTGCTTTTCTGCCCTCACAGCTGTGGTTCTTGGGGTCTTTGTGAAGCACAGACACACCCCCATAGTTAAGGCCAATAACAGGACTCTCAGCTACATTCTCCTCATCTCCCTCTTCCTGTGTTTCCTCTGCTCCTTACTCTTCATTGGCCGACCCAACACAGCCACCTGTATCCTCCGACAGATAATATTTGGAATCATGTTCACTGTGGTTGTTTCAACCATATTAGCAAAAACTATCACTGTACTTTTGGCCTTCAAAGCCACAACACCAGGGAGAAAGACTAGGTGGTTTTGGGGATCAAGAATATCTAGCTCAGTCATTTTCATCTGCTTCTTTATCCAAGCAACTCTCTCTGGAATTTGGCTTGGAATTGCCCCTCCATTCATTGATATTGATGCGCACTCTGAGTATGGACACCTCATCATCGAGTGCAATAAAGGCTCTGTCATTGCCTTCTACTGTGCCCTGGGATTCATGGGCTCTTTGGCCCTAGTGAGCTTCATCTTGGCTTTCCTGGCCAGGAACCTGCCTGACACCTTCAATGAAGCCAAGTTTTTGACCTTCAGCATGCTGATGTTCTGTAGTGTTTGGATTACCTTCCTACCTGTGTACCATAGCTCCAAGGGGAAGGTCATGGTGGCTGTGGAGATATTCTCCATCCTGACTTCCAGTGCTGGGATACTAGGCTGTATCTTTGCTCCCAAATGTTATATTATTTTAATAAGGCCAGATAGGAATACCCTGCAAGGCTTAAGAGAAAAGACCAAATTTTCGCATTTATGAATATTTATCTCTGTCTCTGAAAAAAAAAGATAAACATAAAAATAAACCACATCTTTTGCATGCAGATCATACAATGCTATATTGTCATATTTAATCCTGGCTTATTAGTCCTTCATCTTGCAACCATATAGTAATTGAGTGAAATGTCAATAACGCATCATCAAGTTTTGTGAATATAAATATTAACTTTGATGTGTTCAATTTAGATTAAATCTATTGTTAAGTTTAGTCCTTCATTATATGCATAGTAACCCTTTTTTTCTTTACCTTTATCTACTATTTTGACCTAGACACTAGTCTTAAACAAAAAGTATTGAAGCAATCCTTCACTTATCAAATTTCATTTTCTATCTTTTTTCTAATCATTGACACAGCACACAGATTTATAATTTTTATTAGGACTTATTATCATATTTTTATGTGCTTTCTTCTGACAAACAAATATAAAATCATAAAATTCATCTGGACTTATATATCTTAATTGAGGGATATAAGGATTTAATATATTTTTAAATTTATCATTATTGTTGAAAGTATTACATATGTTCCCTTTTTTCCCCATTGATCCCTTCCACCCTGTACCCCTCCCCCCAGGCCTTCACTCCACTATTGTCTGTGTCTGTGAGTTATGCATATATGTATATAAATTCTTATGTTAATCTCTCTCCACCCACCCCACTCCAGCCTTCCCTCTGAGATTCATCAGTCTGTTCCATGCTTCTATGTCTCTGGATCTATTTTGTTCATTGGTTTATTTTGCTCATTAGATTCCACATATGAGTAAGATCATGGGACACTTGTCTTTCTCTGACTGTCTGATTTCACTTAGCGTAATACTCTCCAGGTCCCACCATGCTGTCTCAAAGAGTTAGGGATCCTTTGTTTTTACAAGTACTTAGTATGCCATTGTGTAAATAAATGTCTGAGAAGATACTTGATATGATTTCAATCTTCTTGAACTTGTAGAGACTTGTTTTGTGTCCTAACATGTGGTCTGTCTTTGAGAATGTCCCATGCGCACTTTAGGAGAATGTATATTCTGCAGTTTTGGGGTGAAATATACTGTAAATGTCAATTAAATCCATCTGATCTAGCGTGTCATTTAAAGTCTCTATTTCCTTGTTGATTTTTTGTCTGGAAGATCTACCCAGTAAAGTCGTAGAGTGTTAAAGACCCCTATTGTGACTGTATTGCTGTCGGTCTCTCCTTTAAAGTCCTCCAGAAGTGTGCTTTTTTTTTTTTGGTTTTTGTTTTTCCCCAGGCCCTGTGAGTCTTTTATTCTAAGGAGGGTCTCAAGACTCAGCATATATTTGGGTCTTGTTTTCTTGCCTATTCAGCTACCCTATGGTTTTTTATTGGAACATTTAATTCACTTATATTTAAGGTTATTATTGATAGGTACTTATCTATTACCATTTTATTTCTTTATGTCTATGTTTCTCATTCCCTCTATTTCAACTTCTTATTACAGCAGTCCCTTTAACATTTCTTTCAATGCTGGTTTGGTCGTGATAAAGTCCTTTAGCCTTTTTTTGTCTGGAAAGCTCTTTATTTTACCATCTGTTTTGAATGATAACCTTGCTGGATAGAGTAGTCTTGGTTTCAGATCCTTGTTTTGCATTACCTTGAATACTTCATGCCATTCCCTCCTGACCCCATAGAATTTCTGATGAGAAATCAGCTGTTACCTACAAAGGAGCTCCTACAAAGGAGCTCCTTTGTAGGTAACAGCTTGCTTACGGCTTGTTGCCTTTAAGATTCTCTCGTTGTCTTGGATTTTTGGCATTTTAATTATGCTGTTCCTGGGTGTTGGCCTCTTTGGGTTCTTCTTGCTTGAGACTCTCTGTGCCTCCTGAACTTGTGTGACTTTTTCTTTGACCAGGTTAGGAAAGTTTTCTGTCATTATTTCTTCTAACAGGTTCTCAATGTCAGCCTTTTTCTTCCTGTGGGTGGTGTAGGTGGGTGGGAGGTGTCCTCTCCTGGATCCCGAGGACACATAGTGAATGAGGTAAAAGCCCTCTGACAGGTCCATCTTGTCAACCCCTAAGTAGCACATTCATGCTCAAATTTGCATAGCCATTCAGAGGCAGGGGACTGGCTTCTGCAGTGTTGCAGACTGTGACATTGGCAACTTGTGTCTGATATTTATTTTGTGCCAGCTACCTGTTGCTCATAAGGGTTGTTGTTTTAAGCCATTAAGTTTGGGTGGTGTTTTACAGAGCTATGGTAAATGAAATGCAAGATATGCTGCAAAGGTCTTCACAGGGCCTTGGAGTTGCTGCCTTCTTGATGCTCCGTGAAAGTGAGCGGTCCTCACTTCAGATGCCCTGCCACTCCAGGCAAGGAGTGTGGGGCCCCCTTTCCTGGGGCCTAAGCTCCTTCATCCTTTTGACCCACTGGAAACTCATCATATTCATTACATTAAGCCATGATCGGTTAAGCTAATCAATAGTGCAACAAGCAAACACCTAACCAAGAGGCTAAACACTTAAAGTTTATTTATTTCTTGATTAGTATGCAAACTACAATAATCAGATTAGAATATTTAAGTTTGGAGTAGTTAAGGGTTTTGTAACATTTTTCTAAAGTTTGAAATCAAGTCCCCCTCAAATCTCTAAACATCTGATAAATGGATACATTTATGACTCAAAGTTGTTCTCTGCTGAGGAAATTATGAGGAAGACAAAACAATACAGAAAAAGAACAAATTTGATAGAAAAGCAGAAATCAAATTAAATTTTAAAAAGGAACATTTTTTTCAAATAAATATCTTCTCAATTTTATACAAAGAAACATTATAGTGTAGATTACTGCTGAATGCAGAGCACTTGGCATGGCACCAAAGGTTAATGAGAGACCTGTCAAAGGTTTCATTTACTTTAAAATACATATAATCTGGAAGAGGAGTGGATGCTTTCAGAAGAAAAAGATCTTGACTAAATCCTGTGAAAATACAGACTTTATTAAAATGCATATTTATCAGAATGACTTGACCAATTTCTTTACCCAACTTTATTTAGATAATTGAGTGAGTAGCTTTTCTGACCTAGTCTCTATATTCAAGGCCTACTCTTAAACTAACTACTTTGCTATTCCAAATGGCAAAACAAACAAACACCTCTTGTTTCAAATCTTCCAATAAGAAATGCATATTCTTGCTTGGTGAGATAAATGAGAGATTTTAGTTTAGTTTAGTTTTAAAATAAATTCTGCTTAACTAGTTTATCTTTATTAGCAGCATTCATAACCAAATTCTAAAGATTCCTAAATAAACGTACAAAACAATTTTTAATTTTAGACTTTTTAAGCTGAAATTTATTTTATTGTCAGCTCATCACTGAGTGAACATGTCAGAGTTTCACAACCTCAGCTCTATTGACATTGTGGGCTGCATAATGCTTCGTTGTCAGGGACTGTTTTGTGCATTGTAGGATATTCAGAGCATCCCTGGTTCCACCCCACCAGCCAAACTTATAAAAACTAAAATGTCTCTAGACACTGCCAAGTGTCCTCAGGAGGTAAGATCACCCCTGACTGAGAACCACTGGCCTGATGTTATCATTGACTAACTGACCAAGCCCGAACCTCTCAGTTTATTGAAAATAAACACTGACTAGTTAGTCTGGAGGATTAAATATTATATTATCTGTTCAATAACAATACATATTTCAATACTGTCCATAAAATATTTAACAAGGGCTCTAGGGGAAAGAGCATACGACATTTAAGAAATGTGAATGCTCATTTGACCCAGTCTGTGCCTCCGTGAGATTATGGTAAAATGAGGATTGTAAACATGCATGTAACCGAAGCAAGACAGACTAACGAGTGTGCTCACAGGCAGGGTGACAGGCAGCACAGGTGAGAGGGGTCATCTTGTCTTCATAGGTCTCTCTGTCTGCCTTCTCCCCACTCGCCCATCACCCTGTCATTACCCTCCACGCACACCAACCCAATCACATTCCTCTACAGTTACTTAACCTTGTCTCTTGGACAACTTAACACGAGGACTCAAAGCACTTACTGACTTAACTACGAAATTCTCCTTGTCACATAATCACCTACTCTCAAGTTAGATTTCTCTTTCTCTCATGTAACTATTTTTAATACATTTCAGGTCTGCTCAAAGCACGGCTATGACTTCATGGCCTGATCACTTTAACAATTGCCATGATGATAACAGTGAGTAAATCTCAGAGAACAGTTTGAATGTGTGTTGACAAGAAAAAAATCAATCCTTAACGACAAATGACATAAACTTTTTACTTAAATACAAACTTTCCAGTCATCTCAAAGTGTTTATATAGGCAATGAACTCAATGTAAGTCATTGGCTGCCCCTGACATTAACCTTTCTGACTTTTGCACCTCACACAATTTTCATCTCATGCAAAAGCTGCCCACTCATTGCACCTGGTAATAGCCTCATTTGTACAGATCTGTTATTCCAGGACAGGGGGACCCTAGAGTCCTGACACATTGTTAGGGCCCAAAATAGAGAAAGCAATCAACATGTTTTCCACTGTGTTCTTCACTTGGCTGGAAAACAAGTGTCTTGGCTCAGGTGCTATGCCTGAGGCAAGAAGGTGCCCCAGAGCTGGAACAAGAGGAAGGGATTCCACTGGATGGAGCAAAGGGAATCCAAGCCAAGAAGTGTCTCTAACCCACAATTAGGGTGCAGACTTTCTCCGTGAACTCTCTATATACCTTCCTGTGCACCTCTCACCACCTAAGTCTGACACCACAGCATGCACAGCGCAGTGTTTGTGTGGAGGGCAGGCTCTTAGGCATTTGCACTGGGGTGATGCTTTCTTCTCTGGCTAAGGTCTGCTAGCTCCTCAGGCAACCACAGTCTTCTTTCAAGTTTTATATTTTTCTTTTTTCCCTGCAAGGTGAAAATGCCTGTGATGCCCTCTCTGCTTTTCCTCCTCTTGCTCCTGTACCTTCCTGTCTCTGTGTGCCAGTGGGAACAATTGTTATGCTTTTTGAGAATAAAACCAG